CTCTTGGATAGGGAAACCTTTACGCACAGACATCAAATAGTCTATAAATAATTGTGTTTGTCAAGCGCAAATATTCGTTTCAAAACTATTTCTAAATTCAGTTCTAATTTCCAACAAACGAATAAATGATCAATATTAATGAAGTGTGCTCAAAAACCTGAGTTATATCCTAAAACACATGCTATGCCCCTTATGGTCTAAAACATGACAGGTGGGCAAATCTAAGCTTGTTTTTAATAAAACAAATATAAATATGGATTTAATAAATAATACTGCTAATAATAATAACATTATACAAAAGCAAATTGTTATGAATGAACTGATAAAGCCTCCCGAGATGAAGAAGACATAAAAGCAGTGATTTTTCATATCTATGTAGGCTAGAAAATAATATGTTTTGTAATATTTTAATCCTTTATATTTAAATCCTATATCTATTCTTATTATATCCTGTATATATATATCCTTAATATTTAAATGTTTTTATATGTAAAGATATTTGCCTATTGCTCTCTTAGTGTGGTTTATTCATAAACTAATTTCGAGAGGATCACGGGCTTATAATCAACACGGCTGGCTCCTTGTTAGCTCCGTAATCAGCCCTATTAGATGATTACGGAAGTATTATAAATAACCTGAGTTTTTTACTCCAGTTATCTTCGTCTTGAAGCTTGCTTCCCGCTACAAAACGCTCCAGCATCGCACCATTTAACCTATCGATACAGAAGAACAAACAACAAACAACAACAACAACAACAAACAAACAACAACTCCAGCCAGAGCTCCACTCTCCCTGAGAATTCAGTCACAGCCTCGCCAAAATCGAGCCTAAATTTCCGCAAAAACGCCGGTGCTGCCCACCAGCTCTTCCACCTCCACTTCAAACTGCCTCACGCAAACGCAGTCCACAACTCCACCTAAACTCTCTAGGCGTCGACGATCCAAAACATCGCAAAAGCCTAACTCACTGCTTCCTAGCGGTGCACCCTCGGTAACGTATAGCACGCTTTTAAGGGGAAGCATCGCGGAAATAACTAATCTCCATCAAAGACTAAACCCATTTATAAATCTTTTAAAAACAAGATTTGCGTGATTAGAAGATTCATAAGAACTCGCCCTTCAAGCCCGTCCACAAATCCATAAGTAAATCACTGCAAAGATCACGACATTAGTCCACGACATATTGATACGTCGATGAAGCGCGCTGTTATCATCCAAACTAGTCGCTGGTGTGCCGCAGTGTCTTCTCACAACACTGGTAAACAAACTTGGCCTACGATCTTGATTGACGCCCCATCGAGCCAATAGCTGAAGGAGCAGCGCCCTCATCCAATGCGCTTTTAAAACTCGATATGGTTCCGCCCTCTCAACAATTCATGAATGAACCCAGCCATAAAAGACTCGTGAATGAACTGAGACGGACATACTTGCGAATTAAGTTAAGATTAAGAAGTTAAGATTCCTAACATGTATTTAAACAAATTAAGTAAAGCCCATAACAAACATTCCATTCATACAGTTTCCACTAAGTAGTGAATTAAGTTAAGCGTTTGATGTTGGGATTTGATATAATAAATAAATAAATTGACAAAATAATGAATGAATGAATAAATAATAATAAGAATAATCATATAAAAAAATAATAATAAAATAAAAAAATAAATTAAATAAATAAAAACCTCTGCCAGATCTAATAGCATTTAACTTCTGTAAAGACTATTACCCAACCAGTGAAAATTTAACACAAAAGTCCAATCGTAATACGCCAATGACCCATACTTGCATATACAGTACCATATGTAACTTATAATGGCACGCCGGTTGGAGGTGAAAATGGTAAAGAAACTAACTTCTCGCTTGACTGCATGAATAGGACATTTAAATAAATCTTCAAGAAGAACTTCTAGGACCACCAGACAAGCTACACCCCATATCCCCAGCTCTGCATCCACCTGCTATCCTGTGGGGGAACAAATGCCCACCTCTATCATCCTCGCACACTGCGACAACGAAGCTCACAATTGTCCATGCTCTTATTAAGATGCCTTGCATTAGATATCAGCTACAACAATTTTGTCATGTCTGCTATACATGTATCATGTTGTAAAATTTAATTTCAGATTTTCTCTTGTTTCTCATTCCAGAGATTAGGACAGCCGGCCCAGAAGCTGACCTTCATCCAACCTATTACACTCCACATCCATTCCAAATGCAATCACAATCTACACAAGGATGCATTTCCAATCATACAGTCCACATCCACAATGCCATATTCACACTAGTCTTTGGGTTTTGAGATTCTCTGAATTAACATCAGTTGCAATCCCACAATCCACCTCACCATATCTGATCTGACTGGAGGAACACTATCTCTCTCCATTAAGCAAGCAAACCGATTAATTCGGCAAAGCACGTTCTATATACATTTTCGACATCCCTTCCCCCACTCACACAATTCAAATGTTTTAAAAGTGATACTAAGAATAAGCACAACTTGAACTATCCCATACACCCATACATTTTCACTCACCACAGTTCCAACTTATTTAGGGGTTGCCTAAATTTTTCTATTATTGCAGCAGGGATGCTCTAAGCAAGCTCTATACACTTACAAGTCCAATAACACTCGTCACACTGCCCTGCACTAATACAGCAATGACAGGTGAGAAGATGGCTGTTATAGTCCATTCAAAAGTTCTAAAATTAAGTTTTTAGCAAGACAGACAGAGCTTTTAGATTTTCAAACTTTACAAATATTGGCTAGTGCATTAGTGCAGTCATACTTTGACTATGCTGCAGCCTTTTGGTACAGCAGTAGTTCCACAAAAATTAAAAAAATTAATTGCAGACGGCCCAAAATAAGTTGCAGAATTGTTATCAAAGTACTTCCACTGACACATTTAAATAATGAATATTATACTCAAATTAATTTATTAAAAGTTGGAAAAAGGGTCACTTTTCTGAAATTGGTGATGGTGTTTAAGATTTTAAAGAAAATGGTCCCAAAATATTTTCTTTGAAGTTTTAGTTAGTGAGGTACACTGTCATTCTACAAGAGCGAGTAGCAGGGGTATTTGTCCTTGTAGATTTAAGAGTGAAACAGGTAGAAAGTCTTTTCTGTGTACTGTTGCTTGGAATATACTGCCGAGGAGTTTTAAAGAGATTCAATTTGAGAGTTTTTAGAGAGGAAATTAAAAAATGGCTGTTTTACGGTTGAAGTTGAGGATTTTTGTTGTGCTGAGTTTCTGAGCTGATGATGTTTGCACTTTATGATTTGCTCATTCATTTTTTTAAAATATCGATGACCACGATGGAAATCAGCCTGTGGCTTTATTGTGTAATTTATCCTCGACAGTTTTTAAGATATGAATGTCAAACTGGACTTGTTTGTGTATTTTTGTTAAAATTGTTAAATAAAATCAATCCATCAATTTATTCATTCATTTTCCTTTAGCTTAGTCCCTTTATTAATCTGGGGTCGCCACAGCGGAATGAACTGCCAACTTATCCAGCATATTTTTTACACAGCGGATACCCTTCCAGCTGCAACCCAGTACTGGGAAATATCCATACACCCTCATTCACACACACACACACACACACACACACACTATGGCTAATTTAGTTTATTCATTCACCTACAGCATAGCACATGGGTTTGGAGCACCCAGAGGAAACCCACATGAACACGGAGAGAACAAGCAAACTCCACACAGAAATGCCATCTGACCCAGTCGGGACTCCCACCAGCAGCCTTCCTACAGTGAGGCCATGTGTATATATATATATATATATATATATAAAGATACATTATTTTTTCCCTTAATAGCTACATTTTAAAGAAATCTATTTGCTTAAGTCAGCTGAACAGTAAACAACAACAGCAATAGAAACCACCAAAGGACACCATATGAACACAGCCAAAATGACTTATTAGAGCATGCACATCTTTGTCATTCCAATGGATTTTTAAAAATATGTACATGCCGCCTTTTCTCTTTCCCCTTAATGAGGAAAACTATTGAATACTATAAAAGCTGTTCAGCGTTTTATTTTTTTCAGATTAACATTCAATAAACTTTAACTAAAAGTTTTAGATTGTGAGCAGGACAGCACACTGGTTCTCCCGCAGCATGTTTGTTCATCATTTCTATCTTAATGTGTTGATCATTTTCTTTTGTGTTTCTGTATTGTGTGAAGGTCAACCAGTCCACAGTTTATGCTGCTATAATCTTTATTCAGTTTTATTCATAAACTATGTACAATATATACACTGTGCTCACGTCGGCTCCAGGTCTCTTGGGTAAAGGTCTCTCAGTGACGTGGTCTCTTCTGGTCTCCGTGCGTCTCTGGTGGAGATGGGGAGCGGGAACGTTTCCCTCTGGCGTCCTGGACTGAAGATGCTGCACCAGCTGAGGAAGAGGAGGACAGCGGCTTGGTCTGGCAGGAGAAGGACGGCCTCTTTTTCTTCTCAGCAGCATAGGCCTCACTGAACAGATTGAGCGCAAACACACACAAGCAGACATAATGTGAGATTTTCACAAACAATAGAACATGCAGCAATGCCAAGTACAGTTTACTCACGCGTCTAGGATGGGAATGACGTATTTGCCGCTGCCGTCCATCATGACTCCCTTTCGGTTTGGGTCGTCCACCTCCAACAGGAAGCTGCGGGGAATCCCTGTGCTCCTCCGGATGCGCTTGTGCGGAGCAGAGCTGCTGCCCTGTGAATTCATGAGTGACAGTCAAACGACAGAGCAAACAATCTGACTGATGGAGACAAGAGCTCAAGTTCACAGCAACCATAAGCTTAGAAAACCCAGTTACCCCTTTAGAGGGGCAGTGCCTAATGTGGTGTCCTGGGATCCCACAGTGAAAGCAGACATAGTTGGGTGGAAGAAGCCCAAGCAGTGTCATGGCCTCACTGATGAACATCAGAACCATGAGAATCAGCTCTAACATTTCTCACAAACCAAACCTGTCAGTGTCTGAACGCTCACCTGCTGGAGTAGTAGCACAGACTGGACTGGTACATCACCGCTTTTAGCTTGTCCTCCTCTGATGCCTTTGCTTCAGCCAGATTCTCAGTCTGTTTCACAGGCATTTGCACATTAGAATTTTATTTCACTGATTTGCTCTAAATAAACACCCTCAAATCTCCCTAAGAAGCTGTGTGTGTGTGTGTGTGTGTGTGTTTGTGTGTATTGTTGTTTGCTTTACACTGTGTATTGATATTCTGCACTACATGTCATTATGACGCCTCAAATGCAAACACTGCAGTTCAATACAGAGCAGCACAGTGGGGTGAATTAATCATTTGTTCAATACCTTCAACAGCTGCTCCAGTGAGAGGAGTGAAGAATCACCTGTTTGAGAAGATTTAGCTGATGGTCCAGCTTGATGTCTGCAAAACAAAACAAAGGAGCTTGTGTGACTAAAACACCACAGACAGACTCAAACTCTTGATATAACATCTATCAGAGGACGATTGCGCTCATTTCACATAACTTACCCAACAAATCTTCTGTTGGAGGACTTCAGTCCAGCCGCAGGGACCCGTCTGATGATGACCGATGTGTTTTTGGGGATGAGAGCATCATCATCTGTGTATTCTGACAGCAAAATAAAGTTTGAATATAGTAATAATCATTTACCATGGTATACTTTGAGTGCCATTAGCATTTTAAAACACTCAGAACATCACTATGTGTCACCATCAGAGTCATGATAACACATGTCAGCTTCTACAAGTCTGTCTGATAACACATCTAATGTTAGTGTAGTAACTGTTATAGTTTAAGTGGCTTTTCCTCATCTCACCTTCATCAGTTTGGGCTTTGCTGATCTTCATCTGGCAGAACTTCAGCCTCTCGCGCCTCATGATCTGCCGCTTCAGCTCTCCCACAGTGATGTTGAGGCCCTCAAACTGGAGCGAGTCGTAGGTGAGTCGACTCTGAAACCTGTAATGAACACAAGACATACTGAACACAAACCACAGTGTGATAACAAGGGTCAAACCTGAATGATGGGAGAAGCAGACGATCAATCGATGTATCCAACAATCAATAATATCAATAATCTGGGAATCAGTTGCCACGAAGGACGCCGAGATCAGATGCCAATGACAGAGCAGAGTTCATAACAACACAAAAGGTGCGTTCGACTTCATGCAGCGCTGCGCAGATCGATCGAAATCTGTCTTAAAGCGGTGCATTCTGGTTAGAAATCTTGTCCGGATTGATGCTGCGCCGACGCCACGTTACTGTCACATGTGGCATCAAAGTACCGCGACAGCGCTCCGAGATCAGACGGCAAACTCAGACCGTGCAGCTTCTGAAGAGCGACTGCAGGAGCTTTGATGACGACACCGATATTACACGATTGGCCGAGTTCACCACATGACAACAAACACGTGTATTTCGGGTTTTTAATTGGACAAATTCCGATTCAAAAGTTTCAAAACAAACAATTCACTTTTCACACCCTCTCTATCCTTTACACATCTTGCTTATTTAAAGACTACAAATATTTTACTGCAGTATCATCTTTTGTTAAATAATCTGGTTATAAAGGTTAGCTTGTTTGCACAGGTTTATTTTTTAACTTTTTTATACAGACTATTTACTGCATTCATCTCCATGAACGATTTAAATGATATATTTTAGTGTATATTTTAGTGAATAACCTAAATATGAACTCAAATAAGTCTTACAGACTTGAAATAAGAAAATCATCATCATTGATCCTGCCCCCCTAAAGCTCTCTTAACAAATTAAAGTAAAGAACTATTTTATTAAATAATTATAAAATGGCTTTATTATTATAATATAAATATATATTTTATTTTCTGTCTAGCAGTTTAAAGGCGACCTGCTCTTTCTGGGAAACTTCTACATAGCTCACTTATTTTACCTTTTGTTCTTTTCAACACAATCTTTTTGGATTAAAATGCTTTTTTGAAAATTCATTCATCATCCAAAATAATGTCATTTATTAAGACCTAATCAAAACACCTTGTTTTGCTTTTTACATGGGAAATTTTTATATCTATAAATGTACATATATGTAAACCCTTTTTTAGCAGATTCAAACAAGAAGTATTAGCCTAAAGATTGATGTTTAACTCCTAGAATTTATGCTTATTGCTTTGTATTTAATAGACCTGTTCGTTTTTATGTTTATATTAACCTCTCATTTCCTCTTATTTCTCTCATGCATTTGTTATATATTTTATTCATAATTCTCTCTTATTGTTTAAAAAGGAACTATAGTTTGTAGAGACTGTATTCTGTTTTATTTGTAAATGTTTTGTTGTTATAAATAAAAATAACAAAAAAATATGATGACGCCATGTGATCGGTCATCATGACTGCAGCAACTTTGAGTCCCGAAGTGTCCAGCTGTCCGTCTTGACGGCTCCGTTTTCAACTCCGCCCCGCCTGCGCTCGGCTAATCTCGTTGATCACCGGCTGCAGCTGAGCTTCATGTCGAACGCACCTAGTAAGAACCGTTGCCATGGATGCTGACGATCACGTGACGAGGCGCCGAAAAACTTCCGCGTTATTTTCTCATAAATAATAGTGAAATCATTACTATGATAATAATTAAATAAACAGCAGAACAGTTGGACATCTCTGAATAAAACACAGCTGCGTTTCCTTACACGAATGATTCTGGCCTTTGTAAAGAGTCGGGCGAGTCAATGAATCAGTAGGTGCGTTCGACATGAGGTTCAGCTGCAGCCGGTGATCAACGAGATTAGCCGAGCGCAGGCGTATGGCGCTCCTCCGAGCTCTTTAACCTGACGCTGCAACGTGCACTCGTCTCACCGAACGTCTCACTGAACGTCTCACTGACGTCTTAAAAAATATTTTTTTTTGCTATTAAATCCATGCGATTTAAGACGCAGACGTGACGTTGACGTGACGTTGACGTCACGTAGACGTCACGTAAATCACGTGTGGCAGTGAAGTGTCAAGCCAGACGTTACGCGTGATTCACGTGTAGCAGTGAAGTTATTTATTTATTTTTTTGCTAACACGTATCATAACACGCTGCTCACACGGCTCAGTGCAGTGTGTGAGGCAGTGCACCATAGACCTTTTTCACAGCGGAATTGAACACCGGAAGCGCCCTTCGAAGCAGTGTATCGATATTTCCGGGTTCGCTAGGAGTCGCAGAGACATGACAGCCTCGGGACAGCGGATGACTTTCTCACGGTCAACTTTGCCATAATTTGGACAGGAAGATGTTGTTCGGTGAATGTGTAAAACTGCCTTAATAAAACAGCATTTAAAAGATGATACCGATTTGCAGAGTTTGTGCAGAAAACGTGTCTTACACAGCGTTTGCAACGTCAGGTTTCAGTAAGGTGCACAGCCAACAGCATAAAAACTGCTCATTCAAGCCATTCGTAAACTGGATTAACCTGGCTTTTTAACATCCAGCAGGATGAGTTTTATGTCAGTAGTCCCGTCTGTAAACTGTGCTAACCCCCTCCTTCCTTTTTATTCAGAGTCAGATATAGTGAATGGCGAGGTAGCTGTACAGGCGAGTTGCTATCGGTTAATACATTACAGGTTGTTTAATGCTCGTGAGGTTTTCTCAAGTCTGGAAACACGTTAGCTCCTACTCGTGGATAATATTAATTTTTATTATTTATTTAAAGAACAGCAAATAACGTTTTACAATACAAAAATGTACATACCAGGGGGTAATTATAAATAAAATACAAATATACAAAATGTAATATAACATATGTAATAATGAAATACATTGTAGGGTTCACACATTTTAAAGTGGGTCGAGTTTGTTTAGAGAGTTGATACTGGTATTATACAAGCATATTTCAGTCATCAATACCTTAAAATCTGGTTTCATATTAGTAAATTTACATTTATGAATGTACAATTTTGTTAACAACATAGGTTTTGAACACAAAAGAATCGTTATTAATACATTTTGCAGCTCACCCCATAAGCGGACTATGTACAATGCCAAAATAAGTGTAAAACTGTCTCCTCATATTCGTTACAAAAATACAATTTACATCAATCCCACTTTTTAATTTTTGCAAACAATGTTTTGCTGGATAAAACCTGTGGATGAGTTTATAGGACATTTCTTTAATTCTATTTCTAACATGATACTTCTGTGGTAACAGCCACACTTTTCTTCAATTCACCCTTTAATAAAGACATATAATAAAATTGAATATAAGGTACAGTAATGATTTCTTTTAGGAAAAGAGTATGAATAGCTCTATCATTACTCTTGGTATTTAGTAAAACAAAATTTGCCGACATAAGATTTAGCAATATTAAAAGACGATGCATCAGAAGGATGGTCTTATTAATACCTCTAAATAACATGAATGAATAACATCTCTGCAGGAATTGAACCAATAACAGTTGAAAACTTGCTGGGTTATTGAGATTTTTTAATAAAGGACTTCATTGTAAGAAAAGTATACCATCTTTATTATATAACTGACTAAACAAATAATTTTGCTTTTAAACCAATTAAAAAAGAGAGATTTGCATTTGTATGAACTGTCTATTATTCCAAAATAACAACAATGTAGGGATAAATCATGCTTATAGGTTAATGACCATGATGAGCACTTGTTTGTGGAAGGCAGATAGCTTAACTGGAGTTTTGTCTATATTATAATTACTCATCAAAATAAACCATAGACCACCAGTCTTTAATGAAACATAATAATCTCCGCTTTGAAGTGCATACAGCATAAGAATGTACTTTCGCATATAACTTGAAACGGCATTCAACCCCCTTTAATATTGTCATCCATTATTTTCCTTGTCCTTCGTCTTTCGGGAGATCGTGGTCATTAAAGTAAGAGTGTCGTTTTTGAGTTGGAGCAGCTGGGAACGCAGCAATCACAGCGATGAGATGACCCTGCCATTCTTTCTTGCTCCGTCGCATTGAAACCGGATGTTGTGGTACACTGCTTCGCTTACCGGAACCAGGAAGTGTGAAAAAGGCCTATTTTCTTGCCCTTCATACATTCCTCTCAATGGACGTGACATTAACGTCTGACTTGTTACATGACGTCTGCGTCTACCTTTTTTTTTTTAAATATATATTTTTCAGCAGTTTTTAGTGCGTCTGTCTGCTTTTTGCCGGCTAACTTATACAATATACAATAATTATGTGCAAATTAAATATAAATATGTTAATATATAATGATATTTGTTTTCAAGATAGCATTAAAACGTATAAAAAATGTATAACAAAAATAACAAATGTCTCCGGAGGTAAAGTTTAGGTTGTTTATTAATATATTCATGTCGTTAAGTTTTGTAAAATCCTTTTTTAATTTGTTTTACATTTGAGTCTTATTGTGTTTAAATTTTTTACATGTTCAATGTAGCCTACCGCATATCAGTGATGACCAACTCATCGATCACTATCGCCTGTTAGATCTGATACTTTTGCTGTAAAATATTAGAAAAATAGAAAATTACATTAACCATTATTGTGTTGTTTTTAAAGCACCTTTCTTTTTTATTTTACGTTTAAAACATATTATTGGGATTCTTTGACAAATAAAAAAAACATAACCTACTTTATTTTTCATTTGTTTCCTTTCTTTTTTGAAAGAAAATGTATATTTTTATTCAGCAATAATGTTACATTGTATTTATATTTTGAATAATAATTTTCCAGGATTCAATCAATCAATCCTGTAAAAATATCATAGAAAAACATTTAACAGCACAACTTTGACAATACACTGAAGGATCATGCGACATAATAGTGTCAAAAAATTTAACTTTGCATCACATAAATAAATAAGTATATTAAAATAGAAAAGCATTATTTTAAATTGTAATATTATTTCCTAATATTACCCAAACCCCGAACCATTCATAATAATAACCAAAACAGTGATGTTTAATCCTAAAACGTTGAATAGCCTAATGTTATTTGAAATAATTAAAAATAATAAAAATTTGC